ATCGCTACCCAAAAATTTGGGTAGTCGGTCGCGACTGGTCGTTCCCGATCGCTACCCAAATTTTTGGGTAACGCATGATCTGGGCATGGGGGGCCCTCACCGGCCCTCGGGGCGCTGTTCGCTGTTCTCGACCCCTGCAGGGGTCGAGAACAGCGAACAGCGCCCCGTCATGATTTTGCTTCGTGCCCCGCGGGGGTCTGGGCCTCTCGCCGGGGTGGCCCCGCCCGCCGGCTTCGGCAGGACGCCGCCGTCACGATGGAGGGCCTGCCCCCGGACTGAGGGTCTGCCTCGCGCCGCCCGGGCCGCCGCAGGAAGCTGCCGCAGCCAGGCCCGATTCTCGCTGCAGCTCTCGGCGGTGCGCCGCAAAAATGCAGCCTGAGGTTGGCGGCCTCCTGCCAGCGGGCAAGGTGCAGAGTGGCGTGCACGCCGGTCGTTGGCAGCAGGTACTGCTGGAGTCCCAGATCTCAATCTGCTTGAGGCCCGTTCCGGCTTCGGTGCTCGATCTGCTTCTGCGGTGTTTCGTGGTTCTCTGGGCGGGCACGGACCCAATCTACTCAATGTCCGCAATCCCACTTTATGTGTTTGCCTTCTTTTTCCGACCTGCGTGTGCACGTAACTGCGATCGGGTGCGCCTGTCCCAGGGCAGCGGGGAGGTTCAAACGTTTAGGCTCCTGTACGGGGGTGGGTGGTGGTACACCAGCGGCGACTATTTGTGTCTGTGTGCTTTCTTCCCTCCTGACAAGTGGTTTCGGAGGATCGCGCCGCATCGCCGATGCATCGCCGATGCGGCGACGATGCGGCGCGATCCAGAATCCCAATTGATCCGTCCCAGCGTCGCCAGTGCATGGGCGATGCATCGGCGAATATTCCGACCCTGTCTGCCCTTGCTCCGGTTGGGTGGCCTCCAGGAGAGGGGGCGACTCGCAGGCCGCATGCTCCGCCCTGGAGATCCTTGACTCGGGGGCAGTGCAAGGGGGGGCTCAGGGGGATGCATCGACGCCCAATCGCCCATCATTGCCGATAGTGATCGTTCTTTTATTATTTTTTTTTGCTTTCGGCGGAACCCCCCGCCCCCCCCCCCCCGTAGAGAAGTTATGGGCTGATTTTGGCACCTGCTTCAGTCGATCGGACGAACTACGGGGCGGGGCGGCCCTATTAGGGCCGCCCCGCCCACGAAAGTGCGGATTTGAACTCGGGGGCCTACCGCGGAGCTGTCGGCGATGTATCGCCGCTTCCAGCTCGAGGTGTCACCCCCCCCGAGCCCGGTGGCCCCCACCAGAGGGGCCCCCCTGAGAGAAGATGCGGACATGGCTGGCACGAGGATGGAGAGCAGCCCTTGCTTTGGATGTGGCACTCTGAGGTTCTCCGTGATGGGGCCTTCCACTGTGGGCTGTGATTCGTTCTGGAGCCCACGATCGGCGGCGAGCGAGAGGTGGAATCGAGAAGGAGAAGGGGGGGGGGGGGAGTGAGAAGGAGAACGCCCTCAGAGAAGGCGGCGGGACTTCCGAGCCTTCTGAGAAGGCCCGCCCCTTCCCATTCCCTTCGGGCTCGCCGCCGACGTGACCTCGGGCCCACGCCGAAGAGGCTTTCCGGGGTCGGGATGTGTCCATCGCCACCGCCCGGGGGGCCGATCTCCGCGGACCTCCACAGGTTGTGGACATGGATGCGTTCGGGCCCCCGGGGGCGGGGGCTCGAATGAGGAGGAGGAGGAGGAGGAGGAGGAGGAGGAGGAGGAGGAGGAGGTTGTTGGGAACGGGCCTAAAGCCAGCACTTCACCACCTCTCAGCCGAAGTCGGAAACCTCCGAGTCTGACTCGACGCCGTGGCGCGAGGCTCGGAGGGAGGCGGCCCCTAGGTTCCTGACCCAGGGTAGATCCGACTCGACAAGGCCGAAAGAACTCATAACCTGCTCTCGCGGGGCGAAGCCCCCTGCGAAGCAGCCCGCCATGGGACCTGAAGCGCTCTGGTGGGGAAGGCCATCCTCGTGCAGCGTCTGAGCCATGACCCTGCATTCGGCGAGGTTCAGGCCCTCGTGGGCCCCCAGAGACAAATTCTTCAAGTCTTCCTTATACGACGGGAACCGACCTAGCCGAATCCTTCTGAGCTGGTCAGAAATCCCGCCCGTTGTTGATTTAGGCCTACACGGCCCTCTGGCGCCAGCGTTGGGAACCAACGAGAAAAACGATCCACACCTGCAGCAAGACTGGTTTCTGCTCCTTGGGGTCCCTGGAGGCTCGAAGACAGGGGAGGCCAGGAACGCGTGACCGTTCGCCCTAACAACTTGCCGAGAGAAAGGCCTCCACTCCTCCCCCAAGTCCGACGAAGCACCACCCTCCCTTTGATCGTCAGCCAGGGCCTGGCCTTCCGCTGCTTCCTCGAGCGAGGGCTGCTGCAGAAGGCCATCGTTGTCTGTCGAGCGCTGCACCAGGCCTGTAGTGTCGCGGGGCCGTCCCGACATTGTGACATTAGCGTCGTCATCACTGACCCCATGACAATCAGCCCCTAGCTTAGCAAACTCGTCAGCGTGCCCGTTGGCCCGACGTTCACACTCGGTGCTTCTGCTTGCCTCTGTGTCGGCGGCGGTCGCATGGCCTAACGTCTTGTGGCACCCGAAATCGCTGAGAGCAAACGCGGACCACACAGGGCCCCAAAGATGGGCCCGAGGGGCCCCAGGGCCCTCAGAAAAACCAGGGCCACGAGCGAGCGAGTCCAAAGTGCTCTGGCAATCGATGTATCACTGAAAAAGGGGGAAGGCCTTCCTGCGACAGCATATGTACAACAAAGTTTTCCCCGTCTTTACTCGTTTGCTGCGGGGCCCTACTCAGTGGGACGGGTCCGTACGCCGCCGACGCCACCTTTCCGAACCTGTCGACCGAAACGATGCTCCACCCAGCTCTGGTGAGCCCGCCCAGGCCCATGTATTTCGCAGACCCGTCCAGGAAGAGCAGCCCTGAGAGAAGGCCAGTCTCAGGCCGCTGGTGCCAGTGGACCGTCTGGGTGGGCTCCTCGACGTCGAAGAGGGCCCTGGGGTGAGGGAAGATGCACCTCCCGAGCCTCTCCGCCGCCAGCGGGCCTTGCTCCTTCACTTTATACGCACACGCACCCAGACGAGCACTCACTAGATCCCGACGCTGAACGGCGTGAGCTAGGCACTCGTACTGACGGTGCCACAAGGTGTTTGGCGCGCCTTTGCACAGCTGACAAAGCTCGTCGTCATGCAGCTTGTGCGCGAACAACCGTGCTCGAGGCCAATACACTCCCGATACCAGTCCTCCCAGGCACCTCTGGTGATGCTTGTCCCAGACCTCCGACTTCTCCCCGAACATGCTGGAGATCCCGTCCCAGAAGATGGGGGTAGACAGGAGGCCCATCATGGCCGTTCTGCAACTGGAGTGCACGTCGATCCGAAGCTCTCACCGCCCCCTGCCTGACGAGGGCCCTAACCTGCGTCGGGGACAGCATGAACAAATCGTGCACCACATCCAAGTCATCTCTGGTACTGTGCTGGTCAACGAAGTCCCAGCCCAGCCCTCGGAGAGTGAGAAGGGCAACGTCGTTAGGAGAGGACGCTGACCTCCAAGGCTGGGCCGAATTCTGGAACTTGTCAATCGAGGCACGCATCGTGCTGGCCAGAACCTGATAGTGAGGGGCCGCCTCCCAGACAGCGGTGGCACACCAAAGGGCGCGCCCCGGGTAGATCACAAGGGAGCCGACCTTGGAGCCGAGCCCGTACGTGTACATTCTGAGCCCGACTGGTGCGCTTTGGGGGAGCCTGCCGAGGGAACTGGCAGCACCTATACGGAGACCAGCCATCTTCGAGGGAGACACTCCGGACACCGAAGAGCCCCAGAGGGCCGACGCCGCAGGCCCAACCCTGTGGACCATCCCCACGTCCGCCCCAGCTCCATGACATACATATCTTCAACCTCCTGGCCCGAGACGATGCGGCCGAAGCCCTGGCATCCTGCATCCCGACCATGCGCAGGCCTCCCGGAGTCGCGATAGTGCCTCGGTTCCTCGCCGTGTCCGTCCTGTACGAAGTAGGGAGGGACCAAGCCTGGGAGAGGAGCTTACCGACCTCATTCGAGCAGAGGTAGGCGCACTTCTTAAACTCCACTGGCAGCTGCAGCTGCTCGAAGCTCGAAAAGCGACCCGACGGCACCTGCTAACTGAGTTACCTCCCGAATTTGGGCCCACAGTTCTGAACTGTAGTGTCGTCGACCACGGTACGCACACACAACAATCTTCTGTTCTCCCGAGCTTCCAACGGGGGCCCCAGCAGCAGCATCTTGGCAAAGGTTGGGGCCCCCGAGCAGCCCGCGATTATCGCGCCGTTCGATTCGACGACGGCAGACGCAGCACTCCCCTAGAGCAGCACACGGAATCCAGCATAGATGGAGCAGTAGCCCCTGTTCAAGCGCACAGGGAGCCCAAAGCGTTTAGCTGCGGCGAGCAGATGCGCATGCTTCACAGTCTCATAGAATGTTGGCCAGGTCCAGAAGCGCCGAGACCGATTCAAAGCCAGCTCCTCGACAGTGAGCACCGAGCAGGTTGTGGACCCAACCTGCCCGCCGCATGTTGCGTCGGGGCCCGAGCCGCAGAAACATTCCGAAAACGTGGCTTCTCCAAAGAACGGCAATATGACTGCCTCAATCGGCTCCAAAGCTTCATGCAGAACCATCTCATCCCTGCAGGCCTGACTCCACCCGGCGGTTTGTCCAGGAAAACCACATTGGTAAGGAACCTGATAAAAGCCCCAGGGTCCACTTCGAAGAGCGTCGGCATCTCCTAGGGGCGAAAGTGGTGACTTTCAGGAAGCTGTCGCACCCGCCGCGGATGAAAGCCGTCCCAACCGAGGCCCGCCGAAGGCTCATATTTCATACATGCACGAAATCAAATCTTCAAGTTTGAGCGGGGAGAGGTCGGGCCCCTCGGCTGCGGCCTCCCGGGTGTTGGGAGCAGGGCCGCGCCCAGCCCGGGGCCACATGGGATGCCGCGCATCTAGCAGTTGCTGAAGGGCGGCCTGACCAGCCACAGGAAGCCGATTATCATCAGCGATACCTCTCGGGCAGACGCTCGTGACCTGGTGCTTGGGGGGGGCGCGAGCAGCTTTGCCCCCTCCAGCATCAGCCTCTTGGCCCACTCCTTCCACATTGCCAGTTGCAAGGCCGAGTCCAGCCGCTGGCGACGAATGCATTCCTTGTTGATGCACGCGTGCTTCTCCGTGTCCCAAGGGTCCGTAGCCAACGCAGCGTAGATCATGGCCAGCAGTTGGGCCTTGGTGGGCCCCTCCTCGACCAACTCCGAATCGTCGAGGATATTAAGCAGCCTGGGCTTCCAGGACCCTAGCAGCGCTCTCCCCTTGGCCCCTGGGTTCCCCAGACTGATGGCTCTGGCTTGCCTGGGCAGTGCCTCGGACGAAATCCAGCAGACCGCTTGCTTGGAGAAAGCGATGGCGGTGATCCCTCTCCAAGAGGGCAGCAGGAGGAACTTTGCGGGCATGGGGTCCAGCGGAGCAACCAACGTAACCTTTTGGGGCACCATTCCCGAGACAAGGCGTCGAGGTCATTGTCTTGGGTCGCCCCTGCGGCAGCGGGCCCATCGGCGCGGTGCTGAACGGCTTGAAACGCGTCTGTTGTGAGACCGCTGCGGTCTGGCAGAGGTCCCCCATCCGAAGCAGCACAGGACAACGGGGAAAACGAGGCGCCCCTTGGACAGCCTGGGCGCGTTTCACACACGTGCTGATGACCGACGAGGCGACAAAGAAGTCGATCCCCCGACCTCAAATATCATGCCCCGTCATCTCCTCCTCCAGAGCTCCCCCCTGGGCCGCCCTAGGAGCGCAGGCAAAGCAAGTCGGCTTGTCGGGCGCAGCCGCTGCGCCGTGCGCGTGCTGAACCCAGCCTGAGAGCGACAGGGCCAAGTGCGTGAAGTCCCAGTCCCCTTGGACGATCCACGGCCTCTTGCTGCAGAGGAGGATCGCGCCCAACACTTCCGAAATCTCTAAGTTCTCCCCTGCAACACCTAGGTCGTTGATCAAATAGACGCTGTAGATCTCTAGGCCCTCGCCGAAACCAGCGTTGACGACCCGACCTACGATCCTCCCGTCATAGTTGCCTACTCCTGGGAGCTCCAATGGCTTCGAGGCGATCTCCCCCGCGACCAAGACCCCCGCTCCCCCTGAACTCTGAAAGGGCCCATCACCAGTGCTGATAGCCTTCCCGAGAGACATCGGGCATCCATTTCTGCGGGCCCACCCTTGGGCCGAGATGATCTTGTCGGGGGCCCTCAGACGAGCCCCCTGGAGGGCGACCACCTGGAACGTATTCTGAACGAGGCCCCACGCAGCAACTTCGGGACCACCAGCTTCAGCCCTGTCGCGGACCCAGTTCACTACAGTGTCTGCCGTCAACCGACTGTTGACGTTGGCGCCTGCGATACACAGATCAGCAGGCCCCTGAGCTGCACCAGGGACGCATTCGTCAGCAAGAAGATTGCGATCAGGAGGTCCGCGTCCCTTCCTGTCGGCCCCTGACTGGCGTGTTTTTGAAACCGCATCGAGCGCAACGTGTGTGGGGGGGGAGAGGAGAGAGAGAGAGAGAGAGAGAGAGAGAGAGAGAGAGCAGCTCGTCCAATGGCCGAGCTTCCTGATGCCTGCGCCCAGCGAACGCCCTGCCCGCCCCCCTCGCGCGCTGTTGCCCCCGCCCCCCTGCGGCAGGGGTGCCCTGGAGGAGGATCGAACAGGGGGCGACGGTGAACCTGGGGGCCCCACGGGCCCCCAGGATTTGCGTCCTAACGCCAGCGAGCTCCCAGACGGCGGCGGGCCCGAGGAAGAGGAGGCCGCGCCCGAGCTCCAGGCCGCCGACGATGCCCTTGCCGCCGAGGCCGACCCCGTGGGCCCTGTCCGGCTTGCACTCGTCCCGCCCTGGCCGGCCGTGGCAGCGCGGGGGGGGGGGGGCCCGAAGGCGCGCAGCTCGCGCCTGAACTCGAAGCGCATGCGGGCAGGAGGGTCGGCCGACCGGGGCCGGAATCCCCTTTGCCCCCTGCTCCTCCTCCTCCTCCTCCTGCACTTGAGGCCCGCGCCCCTCAGCTCCGGCTGCCGCCCAGCCGCGCCCCAACGTTGCTCCAGACCCAGCCGAGCTGGCCGTCAAAGCCGCCGCGCTCGCTTGAACCCGAGCGCTGCGACAGCTTGGGCGGGCTTGCGCTTGGCCGCATCCTGAGCTTCGCCTGGGGCAGCAGCCTTGAGCTCCTCTCCTGCTCTGCGGAGCTCCTCGGTCCGCTGCTCGAAGTCGCCAGCTCCCAGCAGCCCCATGTCGATGTCAACTCCGCCACCGTCGCTGGCTGCCACATGCTCGCCACTCCCTCCTGGGGTAGGAGCAGGAGCGCCAGCAGCTGCTGCAGCATCATCAGCAGCGCGCTTCGCCTCCTAGGCTGCACGCAGCAGCTCCTGCAGCTTCCCCAGCGCTGCCTTCCCCTCCGTGGACTCGACGACGACGAAGCGAGGCCTGCCGACATGGCTTTGAGCGGGTCGTCGAACTCGCTGGCGTAGGCTTTGCACAGCAGCTCTTGCGCTTGCGCCAGGCCCTCGCGCCCTTTGGCAAGGGGCTCGTTGACCGTCGCAAGCTCCACGTCCAAAGACTCGCGCTGCCGCTCGATCTCGCTGACCCTCGCCTCGTGCTTGCCGAGCTTGGTCTTGAGGTTCTGGACCCGCCAACGCGCCGACTGCGCAGTGGGGGCCGACTTCTTCATTGCTTCCGTAGCCTACTTCTCCGCCTCCTCAACCGCCAGAATGGCAGCGCTGTCAATCCCGAGCTTCTTGAGATAGGCGAGCACATCCTGTCCAGCAGCGGGGGGGGCTTCACTGCCTTTGCCCCCGCCCCCCCCCCCCCAGCCCATGGCGGCGCAGCCCCAGACTCGGGCCGAGAGCCTCCAGTGAGCTCCGCAACCTGCTGCTGCAGGTCCTGGAGCTGCTTGAGCAACTTCGAGTTGGCACTCCCTGGCGGACCTTTCGCCCATTGCCCCATTGGCTGCTTGGGTCCTGCACCAGGCGGCCCCGATGCTGACTTGGCCCTTGACGCAGCCATGCGTGCCGCCTGGACGTGCTTCTGTGCAGCAGGGCGCTTGCACTGACGGCACGCGATCCTCGACGCCCAGTTGCCCGCGCAGCCACAGGAGCAGTCCCAGTGAGGTACGCGCGGCCCCTGCAGCACTTGGCCATCGGGCGGTGCCATTCACCGCCGGGCATCCCGCAGCTCTGAGCGTTGGCCTTCCAGGTCTCGAGACAGAAACAGTCGATTGGTCCGCAAGCGCGAACCGCTCTGAAGTACGCGCTTGCAATGCAAGCCCAGGCCACAACAGCCTGAGCCAGAACGGCTGAGGAGGAGGAGGAGGAGGAGGAGGCGGAGGAGGAGGAGGCGGAGGAGGGGGCGCCTCGTCGAGGCCGAGGCTCGCCTTGGCCAGAAAAAAATCCCTCCGTTCCTGACAGCGGGGGCCCCTGCCAAGAAACACCCTGCGTGCCTCGAGGGTGCCCAGGGTTTCTTGGGTCTCGGTGGTCCTGCCATGAAGAGCGCGACGTCCCCACACCAAGAACCGACGGGCGTCCTGGGTGTGTTCGGGTGCGGCTTCTTGTGGTCGAGGCCCCATGGTATTCACCCCTCCTTGTGGTCGACGATGGCCGTGACGATCGTTTCGTCCCGTTTCTCACCCCGAGGTGTCAGCAGGTCTGCGGGCGCGGGTGCGGCAGAGCGCGGGCGGGCGGGGCGCGCGGCGCGCACGGCCACGAAGCCGCCTGGCGAGAGACGGCGGCCGCGGCGGCAGAAGCCGAGGTGGGCAGGACGAGAGTGCAGCCAGACGTGCCCTCCTCCGTCTCCCCTTTTCCCCAACCTGCCCAACCTGCCCAGGAAGGTGCGGACTCACTATCGGAGGCCTATCGCCGATCTATCGGCGATGTATCGCCGATTCCAGGTCGATGCATCCCCCTATGCCGGTCCCCTCCTGTCGTTGCCCCTCAAAGCCGAGGTAGGCAGGGCGAGAGTGCAGCCAGACGTGCGATGGCCGCAGCCCAGAGGAGGAAGCGGTATCATCCCTCCCCCCGTCTCCCTTTTTCCCCCCTCCCTCCCTCCGTCGGGCCCCCCAGGCAGTGCCGAGGGGGGTGGTTGGCAGAGGAGGCCTGCGAGGAGGCGCCCCTGGACCTCAAGGCCCCCCCCAGCCTAGGAGTATCCCGGGGAGGCCCCCGCGGGCCTCCCCGGGCGCCCCCTCGCGCGGCCCAGAGGTTTCCCAGGGCCCCATGCCGCTGCCCTTCGCCCGTGTCTTCCTCTCTGGGGCCTCCTGGGAGGCTCGTCGCCACCGCCGGATTCGCCTCGACAGTGGTCAGGTCCGGGGAGCAGCGGAGGATGGGTACCTTGTGGCTTCGCCAGCAGCCCCCGCATCTATGACGATGTGCTTGTCGCCAGTCCGGGCACATTTCGGTTCCCTCGATCTCGGCCTTTGGGTTCTCGATCCACGGTGGACCGGGGATCCGAGAGTGGCCTTTGTGAGGGGGGTCGAGACAGCCCCGACCGGGGCCGCGCGTTGACGAAGCCACATCTGCGTCTGCGGATGCATGGGCTTCTCCCCCGCCTCCTTCTCCTTCCAGCTCCAATGTAGTCACAAGTGTCGTTTGGGGAGGAGGGTCGGTCCTTCTCACTTTCCTCCTCCTCTTCCTCCTCCTCCCTCCTCGTCCTTTCCTCCGCCCGCTCCCTATCGTCCCCCCTCCCCCGCCACCCGCGCCTCCCGTGCTGGAGAGGCGCGCCTAGCCGCCGCCTCCGACCGGCTGGAGGCGGGGTTTGCCTAGAGGGGGTTGTCAGGTCCAGCGACAGAGGGGATGGGCAAAGGGGGGGTGCATCCCAAGGATCGCCGATAGGGGCCCAATAGACTCGATCCTTCCAGGAAGGTGCGGCTTCGCTATCGGGGGCCCATCTCCGATCTATCGTCGATGTATCGCCAATTCTAGGTCGATGTTGCCCCCCTTGTGCCAGTCCCCCCCTATCATTGTCCCTCAGGGTTAGGAGTTGGGGCGGCGGGGTCCAGGCCCCCCAAGTGGGGTCCGAGCGCGTAAGGTCGCGCGTGAGCGCCCTCGTCTCAAATGTTGCGTGCCGCGCTGGCGGCCCAGG